GTAAAATGCCAAATTTTATACCTTATATAAAAGAGAGAACACAACCATCCTGCAATAAAACCAAACCCAGAAATTGAAGTCAGCCCTTGGGTTCAATCTTGTAAAATTACTACCTGTGTGAGAACAACTGACGGGAAGAAGTTACAGCAAATTTGCTTGTGTGTTTGCTTGTTCCTAATAGAGAACAAGTGTTTTGAGAAGCCCAGCAAGCTACTGCTAGCATTGCTAGTACATGTAGCATTATCAGATGGGCAAGAGAAAAGTAGACTTCCTACTCCTGTCTTCATTCACCAGGAACTATGTCCCTTGGACTTCTTTAAAAAATCTTAGTATGTCTTTGAGACATGTTTCTGTTTAAAAGTTAATATTCATTTAGAGATTCAGCTCACACATGGATAATTGAAACATCTCTGCTACTTAGAAGGTCTTATGTACATGACAGAGGACTAAGAGTGTTTTATGGCAACCACTATGTATGCAATGTCTCACACCATGTATTTGCCAGAGGAAGCAGTGTTCATCTGAAATCTGGGATTTAGCTTAATCCCCATGTTTGAAGAGAAAAAAATTGCTAAAGACAGGAACAGAAATACTTCTTGCTAGACTTATAAGCATAGCAGATACAGAGATGTGTTTTATTGATAAACATCTGAAAACTTAAGAAAATGAGCATTTGCCTTGAGTTCTTTTTGCTGTCATTGTATATATTCTTGACGAAAAGACAAAGTGCTTTTTGGGGCTGCAATGAAATCCATCATTCAGTTTAATATTAATTACTTTACAAAAAATAGCTTATACATGGTTAATAGATTTTAAAAAAATTAACCGTTTATTACAAGTCCAGCATTATTATGGACTGCTTATAGCACCATTATTATTTTGCTATAGAACCTATGCCTGAAACCATCAATAACATTAATCTCTTTCAAATTTACAACACAGATATAAAATCCATTAATCATGCATTAACCTGTTATAATTGAAACATCTATTTATAGTGCAAGCAAACTAAATTTATAGTTCTCACCTCAAGTAATATGTTTCAAATTCTGAATGCAATTCTAAATGATAAAGGGAGTTATCAGGTGCTGAGACGTGGTATGTATGACATCTAAATACTCATGTCCTTGGTGTGCAAATATTTCAGTTTGATTAGTCTAGTCCTGAATGATTTTATTCTGCTAGCATTATTAAATATGAAGTCATAGTTTTAGAAATAATTATATGTACCATTTTTTAGTGGATTTTTAAAAAGAAAATATTATTTCTCAAAAATTAATACTCCAAACATTTTGGCAATGTTTCCCCCTTGTAAATAGCACAGCCATTCATCAGTGTCTCCTCTGGTTTACAAGAAAACATTCTTTAGCCTTTAGATGAGTTTTGTTAGCAGTCAATGATGTGATGCTGGAAATAATTTTGTAAAGAACAGTCTTAGGTGGAAGGTGTTTGGGTTTGTTTCTCTTGACATATGATTTCACTGGGTAACGTTGTTTAAAAAGACAAGAAAACAAATAAGCAAAGCAAAACAAAAAACCTCCCTGGGACTGAAATACTTTGTATGTGTTGTTATTTGCAGTGCATGCCAAGACATTCATGGGCACCAGAGCCAACCTGGCAAGCTAATTAAATATATAAATGTATATGTTTAAAACAGCCTTATAAGGAGCATTGGAAATCTGCAAGATGAGCGAATATCTTATAACTTCTTCCGCAGGTGCGAGGATAGCTACAAGCCATGGACTTTCTGTCCTGCTTCTTGTTTGTGGCTTTGTGAAGGGTGCTTTGCTTTAATCTAAAAGTGCTGACTTTTTCCAATATCACTTTCTCTTCTTAAAGCAAAGAGCAAATCGCCTGTAAAATCCACGGAGCGGACAGCAAAGTTGACCCTAACCTCCAACCACCACTCTGCACCCAATGTACTCTAAATCTCTACACAAGGAGCACCTTCTTCAGGAAGTACAAACAAAATTAGTAAATAAATAAAATAAAATATTATAAAAAGAAGAGGATACCACATGTTTTCTTGATATATCTTATTTTCTTTGGCGTATCACTGATATTTTATTTGAAGAGAACTGGTGTGATGTAATCAAACATTTTGTAACAGCAAGACCTAGTTTCCTTTTCTTTCGGCAAGGAGAAGCCTCATCCTTGACTTCTCAGGGGTTGGCCTGTGAGTCATCAGTATTACAGAATTAACCATGGATGACATTTGGTTTCCTACGCTGAAAGAACCGTTCCAGCCTGGAAGCAAAAAGAGGCCAAATAATGAAACAAACCATAGTGATTTTACATCGACCCAAATAAAATACACACAAACTTTATCAAAGAGCCTTATTTTTTATTTTTTTTTTTTGCATGAGGAATAGGGACGAGAAAAGGAACTCTACAAAACAGCTAAGCAGACTAGGGGATGTTGTTTCTGGAGAACAAATGAAGATATTTTTCTTTTGAGTTGGTTTTTTTTTTTTAGTTTTCAATATATTATTCTTTTTCTCCTGTGAGGTTTTTTTCTTGTTTTTTTGTTTGTTTCTTGTTCAATGGTGGCAATTACTGACTTAGGCCAACCCCTGATGATTGCGTGGAGGTTTATATATATATATACATCTTTTTTTTTGTGTGTGTGTTCTATATTTCAATGTGTTTTCTCTGATTTTGCAACTCCTGTATATGCAAAACTAACTTAAATTCTGTAAATTGCTTACAGTCTGTGTGATATAACTTCAGAGTAGACATACTTTGGTCCTCATGCAAGCCAGTTTTTAATATTATCTATATGTCGTGCCACCAAGAGACATCTTTATTTGCTTTTTTGACCAAACATCACTTTTTAGTTTGTAATTCAGTAATGTGTGGATTTTGTAATACATATCTTCACTTTGACTGGTTTGACCCCTTTCAGCCCTCTGTTTACTCTGTAAATGCACATTAAAATTTGTTATGGTCTCTAGACAATGAATTATTTTAGTTTTGTGTATGTTGTGTTGGAGTTCAGATGCTGAATGCTCTTTTAACTTGTGATGTTTATAGAAGATGAAGTGATTTGATCACTAGAGACTGTAAAATGCAGATTTGCAGTCAAATGCTGCATGTAAAGGAAGGTTAGAAGCAGAAAACAGGCAAATAAACCAGAACATGACTTAAAGGATGTTCTTTCGTGAAAGAGTTTTAGGAAAGTGAATTTATTACATGGATAAACAATATTTGCATCACAACTCCTTCTACATGGCCAAAGAAGCGTCTTCCTTTGCGTTTTCTGGAAGTGGTTTGTCATTACTCATTGATATTCTTAATTAAAATACTCTATGTCTGTGAGCAGAACATAAGAATTTTGAATGAAGTAATATACATTACATGAAATACATTCATTAATGCAGGAAAGAAAAATTGCTACCATTTGCAGCTGCAATCAGGAAGGTTTTTTTTCTTGTTCCTCTCTTTCCACTGATGCTGAAAAATTCACACCCTTTCATTTATCAGCACAGACAATCACATACACCACATGCTTATTATGGTCTATTTATAGCAGCATTAAGTAGCTGCAGTGTGGTCAGCTGTGTGATTTCTCCTCACTTTGTAAGTAATGTAGAAGAAAGTAAAAAAATATGTTTTATGTCTCACCAGTCTGTGGCCTGCCAGCCTAAAATTTAATTTCAAAATGCTCATAAGTCCAAAGTCTTCCTCCATTACTTTCAAAGCAAAAATCCTATACTGGCATAGAATCAACACTTTGGATAATTATTGTTTTGAAGAAGGTTACATATTTGTGCAAATCTAATTTCCAATACGTTCTGTACTATACACTTTACTGGGAGTAGTCAGTCTATCTTTGGTTTTAGACAAGTCTTAGCAGGAATAAAGAGAGTAGAAGTTTGGTCTAACACAGACAAATCAGGAATAATTGTCAGGATGTAAAGGGAAAAAGGTCTTTTCTTTCAACATAAAATTTATGACCACTTGGAATGTTGTGTATTGAAAAGGTTTTGTTCTGTAGTAAGAACAGTTTATCATCATACTGACAAAAAAAATTTAAAACAGCCCATGTTAAAATGTTCTAAATCGAAATCAATACTGTGGATCAGAGAGGATGTAAAGGAAAAAACCAAGAGTCAAGAGGCAGAGCTTTTTGAAGCCTCACTTTTTGAGCACATCTGTGAAAACAAACTTTGAGAGCTTTGGAGAAAAGTCTACATTTTCCCCATGAAATGGATGTCTATGACTGGATGATGTGAAAATCTCCTGCCTGGAGCTTGGAAACTTCAGTTTCCATTGGTCTTAACTGGAACCAAATGCTTAATGTCACACGTGTTTCATTTGTTTACTGTATCCATATATATTGTATGAATATTCCATGTATGCATGTAGTCACATAGACTACCCACAGTGACATATGGCATTTTTCAGAGCAGTTTAACCTCACATTGTTAAAGTTAGCCTCTGGTTATTATGTTCAACTGATACTGTGTTTTGCTTTATGCTGTTAGCTGCTTGGATATAACTCACCGTGTACTAGGAAATCAGATTAAAGAACCAGCTGAAATTAAAAGCAGACTTCTAGACCACTTGGACTAGTGTGATGCAAGTTAGAAGACATTTTAAGGAAAGTGCCATATTATGATCTCCTATTGCTCAACAATATCAGCAAAAAAACCCAAAACAAAACAAAAAGGACAAAATAAATTTGGAGGAGTTTTGAAAAGCCTTTAAATCTTTCATGAGGTGCTAAAGGGATGTAGTAGTTGTCCTCCTTCCCCTCACTCTAAGATAATACATCCAAATTCTTCAGGTGAGGCTGATCTAGCCCTTCTGGCTGCACATCTAAAGCACAGCTTCCACAACATTCTCGGCTTTTGCTAATCTGTGTGGTTGCAGAAGCAGCATCTCCTAACAGGAGAAAGTATTGCATTTCTAAATTCTGTTCTGTGTGTTAACAGCCATTCTTCAAATTGAGAATTTGCCCAAAGCTCTTAGAAATTCTTAAAATGGAAGTTAAGCTGCAGTAGTCCCCCTTTTTTCTAAGAATTTAGTTAGAGATAATGTTTTGTATAGGAATGGAACTACTGCCTTTTTTTGCATGGTGCAGTTCTAGTTTGGATATAACACTAAGAGATAAAAAAGTGGCTTAATTATATCCTTAAAAGCTCCCCATTGAGTTAGATATCTAAAAGGGCAATTTCCATCTGGCAGTGGTAAAATCTCTAAGCCCAATGCCCTTAACCTTTCTACAAAAACAGTCCAGTTTTGAGGTGGTGATTTACATGAATCATGCTTCTTGCTTTGTGTTCCCAAGGCCTGATTGCATAAGTGACTTTCTTCAAGTTGTTCCAGCAGTTTTTGTTTTTAATAGAAGAATAAGCACGGGTGAGTATGAAACAGTCTTGTATTTCAAAGTATATGCCATCTACACTCACATACTTTGAGGTCTGATGTAACATCAGGCTAAAAATATATTCCAAGCCCATTAAATGTCAATGACAGCTTTTGTTTTACATGAAAAAGAGATAAATCTGTGGCATTTTTGTACTACTGTCAAAGATTACTACTGCAACAGATCTTGTCTCAAAACGTCTCCTTTTTCAATGGTTACTAATATTCTTTTAATCTCTGGACCTTCGTGCATACAAGTTGCTGTATAACATGTTTGAACTTCCCTTTCTTGATTCTTTTTGTTGATTCTTCAAAGAAATTTGTGGAGCAGGTGAGGTGCTCAGACCATAGATTTAAAAGAGCTTGGCAGAGTAATTAAAGATTTGCTTTTTGTTCTCCAGAACTCCTGTTTAGAAAGGTGCTAGAAAATTTGAACGGTAAACACTGAATCTATCATGAGTTCTTTTTATTTCTTTTTCATTCTCAATATTGAATATTTATATGACCACAGTACCTGAAGGCAAAGATCAGGAGTAGATATAAACATATGAGATATCACAGCAAAAACAATAGTAGATTCTTGGAGGTTTATACCTATGCACGAAATTCAGTACCACTGTGATTTAGGATCAGAACATGCCCTAGCAACAGTTTTTCTCATATTCATTCTTTAAAATATTTTTGCTTCATTCAAATAAACTGTGGAACAGTGACCATTGCAAAAATCTGAATGCTTTCAATCTTATTCAGTGTTATGACTTCTAATGATCTCTAAAGTGATGTCATCATTTAATTCATCATTAAAAAAAAAAAGACAGATTGCACTGCTGTCAATCTTCAACTCCTTCCTCAAAATAAAGAAAGGAAAAGAAAACAATTCAAACCTTTGTCATTTGCAGGTTGTGGGAACATTTGTCCATGACATTAGTATTGGTAAATGTCAAATGTTGTTTAAAGAGCTAAAAGCATTAAGAACCAAGAATGGGATCATTATACTTTGCAATATAAATTTTTAAAGGTTAATCTTCCATGATTAGCTCAGCTAAACAATGCTAAGCAAAGAGTAAATTGCTTAATGCAACTCACCATAAATGGCTTCAGTCTTTTGTTCTGAGCTTCCTAAATATCGATTTATTTGATTGCACAGTCATAAAGTTTGCACATACATTGACAGAGCTGAAAGATTATACATAGTTTATCCAGTACTCTTTATCCAAAAGGTACAAGAAGGAAGTTAAATTTGTCTGCAATGATGAATAACATTCAATTGGTAGAGCTACTTGCGAAGAAACAGAGGTGTGCTTTCCTGAGAGTCATATTTATTTGCAGTCTTATTTCATTTTCTCCTTTTTGTGCTATTATTTTTTTGCCAACATTTCAGTCTAAAAAAACAAGACAATAATGTATGTCTTAATACTCCTTATAAGGTGACAGAGGACAAAATAGTGCCATCTTTATTATGAAAGAAACAATAGGGAAAAAAATAACTGTTTCATTTAAAAATGATCTAAATGTTTGCAATGTTGTATCACCTCAAAATATCTCTGCTCATAGGGTTGCATGACAAGGACAAGAGAGCAAGTGTTTTGTGTTTCAGCTTGACTTCCCAGGTCTAGGGGTGTTCTTGGTTAATTGCCATCCTACAGCTAAGGACTGGACTTTCCTGTAAGTTTCACAAACAGTAATTTTCCCTGTGACTCCCAGTGACAGATTGGTTTGAGTTTTGAAATGAAAAACATTTGCAACTCGAAATATTTTTCCTTACAGCTATAAATGTTATGAGGAATGGCAACTATTAAAGCCATAAACAAGTCTGGAAGAACATTGCAAGCTCGTTATCTCTCAAAAGTTTCAATATATGACAAACACTTTAACAAAAAAAAGAAGGCTTTTGTTGGGCTTTTCTTCAAAAATTTTATTGTAACCCACTCTTATGCATTCAGCTATAAATACTCTGGATTTGGATTCCAACTATATCACGCTGACAGTAGAGATGGCCTTCATGGGAGCAAATGAATGTTTCAGTTATTGAAATTCTCCTTTACATTGACGTTACAGCACAGAAAGAGGTCTTATGTGTATATGAGACTATTTACTGAGTCACAGCTCATAAGGAAGCCAAAACATACATAATAGACTATTAATTCCTTTCCTGTTTTTATATGCCATGAACTTGAAAAACAAGGGAGAAGATTAGGTCTGACAAATAGCTGCTTAAAATAAACTATTTCATTTAAATCTTTAAAGAAGCAAATTTCTTATTAAAACAACTTGTATAACCATAACCTTTTAAATTATACATGGTTTAGATTTTTAAGCAAAGTTATATATATTGTATGTAATATCCTGGCATAAAAAATTGGGAAGGAAGGAGATGATTACTTCTTTTGTTACATCTGATAGAAGATTATGTTCTTTGCTGATGATTGTTTTCTCTATCAAATGACTTAACAGATCCTTTAAATCACTGGCAACAATACTTTTTTAAAAAAGGTGACAATTTTTCTTATCACCTACAATACACTTCGGTTTCTGGATGCTAACAAAACACCAGTTAAGATTTTTCAAATGTTTTTTTATCATAGCAGAAAAGACGGAATCCACACTTTATTAAAAATAAATGTCAACATATTTACTAAACCACCTTAATGTCTTTTTCTTTGCTGAATTAGGCACAGGATACATTTTTTTTGTTCATGTGTCATCTCATGAGGCTAAGCACTGAAAAAAGGACAGGGAAAGGTATATCCCAGTTGTTGCTCCTACTAATTGAATTCCTGTGTGAGAGAGAGAACACAGAAGGCATGATTCTTTCTGTTTCACACCAGCCAACAATGAAAAACCTTCACAGGGACTAAGAAACCAAATCACTCCTATAAAAAATTTTATTGGTAGTTCAACTCTGCAACAAAGTGAAGTGATCAATGAAATTAAATGCAATTTCTCTA